TTTGTACCAGCATCTAAACTCTACATTTTCGGAATCTTTTCCTACCAAAGGGGACTCAATAGAACACATAGTTGTTGTATTCATCGTCTGCTTTGCGTGTAGATGCCGCTATGTGCTTGGTTTCGCCGTTGGATCTTCTCCGTCTTCTTTGGATGCTGTGTGCTGGCTGGGCGCGCTCCCTTGGTGCTCTTTATGGATTTGCCCATCAACAACAACAGCTGATGCATGCTGATGTCATTGCTGCTGGAATGCAGTTCTCTGCAGGTCCGGCTCTCTTAAGAAATTATATTCGCTCTTTCAACTTAAATTCTTGCCTACCAAGGGCTTTAATTAAGAAGGAATTTCTTCTTTATCTATCCACAACCAATGTCAGTTAGTTAAGTTTTTTAGTTGAGTAGCCAGTTAAGGGCTAAAAAAATTCAATTATTTCAAACTTTTTTATATAATAGTACAAAGTGTCAGGAATGTTGTCCGAAAATTTCAAGTCGATCTAAGCTAAACTGTAGGAATGGGAGAAATTTAAAGACCAGCGCGTCGTATGAGTCACAACTGGCAATTCGAACTTTTGCGTCGTTTTTCTCGAAACCACTTTTTTGAAGTCGGTAGTCACGATTTCTCGAAAACTATTGCATATTATTATTATTAATATTTTTTGTTCAAATTTTTACACAATGTAGTTCAAACCTTATATTTTAATGTACAATAAATGAAATTTGTAAAATTGTCGTAGGATCCTTTAAAAAAAATTCACGAAAATAGGCCACTTTTAGTGCTTCAAAACCCGGATAACCCCTTAAGGTTGACCGTTGGCGAAATAAATAAATAAATAAATTCAAAGCTCGAGGCGTTGCGGCATATTTTCCATAGGTCCGCCATTTTGTAAAATATTGTTTATAACAAAATGTTTTATCATCTCCGATGCTACTTTTAACTATTTCAAAAGATTCACGAAGATTGCTTCACGATTTCCTACATTAAAAAATTCACGAAAAATGTCTAAATTTTGACCATTTACATGTATATTCCCCCTTAAGGAATAAAATACAATTAACATTTGTAATTTACATAATCGCATTGTATTTTAAAACAATTAATTTCTGATTTTGCGGATTTGAATCCGCCGGCCAAATGGCACACGGAAAGTTTCTGAGCGTTTTGCCTGCAAATTAACAGAGACTTAACAGAGGGAAATACGAATCCGTAAGAATTTTTCGGAAGTGAACACTAGAACAGGTCAGGGAAATCCGAATCGGAATAAATTTTGCAGAAGTGGAAACTAGACCAGGCCTGATAAAGTGTTATGGTTTTCTGACAATATTTTTTTAATTTTGTTGGATCAATTGGTAGGTGGCAAGATATAGCAATTAAAATATTGTTAAAATATGCAATGAGAATTTCATCGAGACCTAAGATATGAGCTAGTAGCTTGCTCCTTGCTGTATTGCCGTCGTTGGTATTTCCATTGCCATTCTGCTAAGGCTTATCCATATGTAAAGCCATAGCATTCCACATGTGCTTCTTATTCGCCTTTTTGGTTTCGATATTTCTTTTTTTCCATTTTCATCTCTCACTTGCCATTTTTTAAGTTTTCGTCTATATGCCATTTTAAGGGGTTATCCGGGTTTTGAGGCACAAAAATGTCTATTTTCGCGAATTTTTTCAAAAGACCCTACGACAATTTTGGAAATTTCATTTATTTAACATTTTTGTGCAAGGTTTAAACTAAATTGTGTAAAAATTTGAACAAAAAATATTAAAAAATGAGCCGTTAAGGCATGCTTGAACTTAACCCCACAAATTGTGTCCTTGCGGTAGGCAGGATATCTCCGTCATTTTTTATCGGAAATCAAAAAACCTACATTTTTCTGTTGGTGTATGTAGGTGGCTTGTCTTTGAACGAAGCATTTTTTTTTATTCAAAATTGAATTTTTGGTAGCGTTTTTCATAAAAAGTGTAATTTTTTACTTTAATTTTGGTTATATTTTGGCTTATAAAATGAGTTGTAATTGAAGATAAAAAAAATCCTTCATTCAATGACAACAAAACCATGTCTAGAAGAAGTGTGCCAAAGCAGAAGTCGATCGGTGCAATAGTTTTAGAGACACTTTGTACTACTATATAAAAAAGTTTGAAAAAAATTCTTTTTTTGGAGTTTCAAAACCCGGATAACCCCTTAAGAACGAATTCAAAAAATTGAATCCAACCATGTAGAGGACTTATGCCATATTTTAATGCTTTAAGTCTTGGCTTAAATTTTGGTGAGTCTATTTTAGCAACTAAAATAATATTATGATTTTTTCTTGTAAAAGATATGAGCATTAAAAGTTTAACTTATTTGTTTGAATCATAGAAAAATTGGGTAAATTAGTCGACTTACACATAAAAAAATATATATAACCAATAGTCATGGTTTTTACATTAGATGATACATACATTCATAACGCATTAACCAAACTAAAAAAAAAACGGCAGTTCGACTTAAGTAGTCAATAAAAGCTGAAGCCGATAAAAACCACCGACTATTCTAGCCCTATAAGTTGCGTGTATCTTTCCTAAAACAGAATCAATTTTCATCAGTTGGATCTGCAGAAATCCAAGGCAACAAACTAAAAAACACTCATGGTAATAAGGACCTATTCAACATATTGGCTGTATTATCTGACACCATCTGGAGTTAGTCAGATCGTTAATAGATAATGTAAACTATAATGTACCACAAAGGCTCCCTAGCGGGACGCCAGAAATAACCTTGAGAACATGAAATAAGTAATTTTTAAAAGGTCCTTTTGCGTCCTGCCATTCAAATAACTTCAGATCAACCGGAAATCAAAGTCAAATACTTTACTAAAATCAGAATAGATTACATCTGTCTGAAAGTTATAACTGAAGCCGTCTGTTGTCGATCTTCGTTTAATAAATTCTTGTTGACATGGAGATATAACTGATCTATAAAGGTCCCGCAAGTGTGGAGTAATGACATTTAAAAAATAATTTGGGAGGGTGACAACTTAAAGATTCTTTTATAGTTGTTTGTAACAGATTTGCAAAATTTGTTGTTTAAAATAATATCAAATTGTTTGCGCCGAAAAGGCGATCTACCTGTTCTGCTCTGTTTTTGGGGGTGAAGGGCACATTTCCGATCTTATAAAGTATATATTTTTAATCTGCAACAGCCGAGTCGATTTAGTCATGTCCGTCTGACCGTCCCACAGTAGCGCCTCTCGAACAAAAGCCATTGCAAAAATAAAAAAAGTCGTTGTCACTTATTCGACACAAAATTTCCCATGGATTCAGAATCTGCAATCAAATCATTTTTTTCTTTTTGTAGAAGATATGAGCATTCAAAGTTGAACTTTGATTCCATTTTTGCATCATAAGAAAAAAAAAAGGGAAAATTGGTTGACTTTCAGATAATATTACACGAAAAATAGATTACCTATCGTCATGAATTTTGCTTTCAATAATAGACAGATTCATAAACTTAAAGCCAATCCGAAAAAAAGGGAATTGGTTTTGGGATTGCACAGGTAAACCGCTACCTGCCAGGTGTCCATTTTTTTCACTCTTTTCTGGCTAAAGTAGTCTATATCTTTTTTGGCTGGGCTGAGCCACCTACTACACTATAACTACGACCTTTGTGGATCTATTCTGGACCAAAATCAACTTTCATCTGCTGCGTCGAGCTGCGTCTGCGGAAATGCAACATCATAAACAAAAACTACTCAGGGTTAAATATACCAAAATACCGACACAATTTCATACAAACCAAAAAAATTTACAAACTGTTGCGTTCACGGTTTTGTGGCGGTTACGCTTTGAATAAAAAAAATGTTAAATATTTTTTTTCAGTTTTCAAATTATTTATATTTGAACAAATGAATATAAAAACTAAAAAAATACCCTATAAAAAGAGGAAAGAGTGGGCGTGGCACATTTTCCAATACATATGTAAATTTTACAACAATTGGCTGTCAAATGGCGTTTAAATTATTTTATTATCTTATTTGGTTCAAAAGCTACGCTACTGTGCGTCCGTCCGACTGTCCGCCCGTCTATCCGTTTATACGCAAATAGGAAACTCATTTTAAAACTTTCTGATTAAAACTATGCAGATAATCTTTTGACTATTCTCTATGTATATATCGACGCATTTTCGCGAAAGTATCGTATGTCGAAAAATTCAATTTTACAGGAGAAGCTTTTTTGTGCTTTAATCTCTTAGGAAGCACTATAGAAAAGACAAAATTGAAACTTAATTTTTATCGGAACTACATATATGGGTTTCAGTTATAATATTTCACAGGGTAGTGAGACATTAGGTGTCCAACAATTTTGCATTAAAATCTCAATTTCGAAAAAAAGCGACATACGATACTTTCGCGAAAATGCGTCGATATGTATGTCGGAACGGGGCGGATCGGACGACTATGTCATAAAACTGCTACAGGAACGATCGGAAAATTTCTAGAAAAAAAAATGTAAACTTCGTTGTTTTTCAACGAATTTTCAATAAATCAATCAATAAGAGCGTTTTCATTAATTCCATTATTTTTTGTTTAATTATTTCATTTTTTTGTCTTTCTAACATTACAAGTTTAAAACTTAAGAGAGTAATATTTCTGTTATCTGCGTAGCTTTATTTAATAATGTGGGGAGCCGATTTTATAATCGTATAGCAGTGAAGTAAGTAATATTGGTCTTATGCATATTAGATTGTTTAATCTCCTTGCAGCAGTGGACAGACGGATCGGCAGACAGACGGACACGTCTAGATCGACTCGGCGGCTGTTGATGCCAATTAAGAATATATATATATACTTTATGGGGTCGGAAATCTTTCCTTCACTACGTTGCAAACTTCTGACTAAAATTATAATATCCTGCAAGGGTAAAAATATATATATATATCATTTATGGGTGCGTAAAGTTGCAAACTTCTAAAAAAAAGTGCAAGGTTATATTAAAAAAACATTTGTTTTTATACTAAATAAATTACTTACCATACAACAAGCCGGTATTCGAACAGTGCCGGGCCAATTATAATATAAGAAACATAGTTTATAGCTTAATTTTTGAATGATATCTGGTCCATAATTCGCGTCATCTCGTAAAACAACAAAATGAGTAGGGCTGACAGTACCTTGTCGAACCAATTGCGAAACCAAAAAAAAATCATACATTTTAGCTCTGGTTATATGATTATCAACTATCGTTCCTGGTAACGGATTGTCAAAATTATTGTCGTTTTTCTGAAAGACGTATAAAGGAGTTTGAGAAAATAGTTCATAAAATAATAATAACAAGAAAGGAAGCTAACTTCGGCACGCCGAAGTTTATATACCCTTACAGATTGGTTTTAATGTTTATATTATAGACTTAAATGCTGAAAACACACACAAAACAGAGTTTCATAACACTTTACCTATACCAATAACCATACAACATATAGTCATTTCATACAACGAAAATGGACACAAAAATTTCTTAGCGAGCGGTCCCATGTTAACTGTTTGCTGTTAGCGACAGACCGTCTGTTAGATTTTAGCTGTTAGCGACCCGTCCCATGTTAGCTGTCAGCTGTTAGCGTCAGGCCTTTACATGTATGCGTGTTCATGCATTCACGTACACGGGTGCATGTGTGCGATCATTTCATTTCGGCCCAGCAAGAATATTTGGTCTTTTGCTACTTTTCGCGCTAGGTACCCTAACAATATGGGCATATTCGCTATTGGGTTAATGATACAAATAAGAATGTTATATGTTATAATATATTTCTTAATGATTCAGCATTCATTTCATATTTGTTTACAATTCAAATCAGTGGCAGCAGTGAAATGTGTTGCATATACACTTATGGACAAAATAATAGGTGTGAGTTTTTTTTTCTTTTTTAACGTTTAATTTCTAATTTATTTCTTTATAAATCTTAACAAATCAGGTTTTTTTCATAACTCATAATATTTGTCTACATTTAAAAACTAAAAACAGCTTTACAAACTCTCTAATAAAAAAGAAAAACCATTTTATAGTTAAATTCACAAATTTTGGCTGGACAAAATAATAGGTGTAGGACGATAAATTTTCAAATTATATCGATTTTTCAGCCAATTTGGTCCTGTTTCAGTTTTAAATCACTAATTGGCAGTCAATAATTGGTATATCCGCCATTATTTTTTAGAACTTTCTCCATTCGTCTTGCCATGGACAATAATAACTTGCGACAAGTTTCAACTAGGATGTTGTACCAAGTTTTTTGGACAATATCCTTAAGTTGAGCGATATTGTGGCAAAAAGTCCTTCCAACATCTCTTTTAAGTTCACCCCAGAGATTCTCAATGGGATTGAGATCCGGGGATTGACTTGGCCACTCAAGAACATCCACCTTTTGCTCCCGGAACCAATCCTTTACAACTCGCGAGGAGTATTTCGGGTCATTATCCTGTTGGAACTTCCATTAAAGTGGCATATTATCCTCGGCATATGGTAGCATTACTGTCTCGAATAAGTTTTTATAAACGAATCTATCCATGATTCCGTCGATTTGATGAATCGGACCAACACCATCCCAAGAAAAGCAGCCCCATACCATTAAGCTACCACCTCCATGTTTCACGGTTTTACATGTGTACCTGGCGTCAAATTTTTTGCCTTTAGGACGACGAACATTCCTTTTAGCGTCATTACCAAACAAATTAATTTTGGTTTCGTCACTCCAAAGGATATTACGCCATTTTTTCTCACCCTGCGGGCCGCATCAGGTCTTATGATCTAATGCAAACTTTTGCCTCATCTGTAAATTTGCCGTCCGGAGCAAAGGAACCCTTCGGGCAATCCTACCTGGTATGTTTGATGTAATGCTACCATATGCCGAGGATAATATGCCACTTTAATGGAAGTTCCAACAGGATAATGACCCGAAATACTCCTCGCGAGTTGTAAAGGATTGGTTCCGGGAGCAAAAGGTGGATGTTCTTAAGTGGCCAAGTCAATCCCCGGATCTCAGTCCCATGGAGAATCTCTGGGGTGAACTTAAAAGAGATGTTGGAAGGACTTTTTGCCACAATATCGCTCAACTTAAGGATATTGTCCAAAAAACTTGGTACAACATCCTAGTTGAAACTTGTCGCAAGTTAATATTGTCCATGGCAAGACGAATGGAGAAAGTTCTAAAAAATAATGGCGGATATACCAATTATTGACTGCCAATTAGTGATTTAAAACTGAAACAGGACCAAATTGATTGAAAAATCGATATAATTTGAAAATTTATCGTCCTACACCTATTATTTTGTCCAGCCAAAATTTGTGAATTTAACTATAAAATGGTTTTTCTTTTTTATTAGAGAGTTTGTAAAGCTGTTTTTAGTTTTTAAATGTAGACAAATATTATGAGTTATGAAAAAAACTTGATTTGTTAAGATTTATAAAGAAATTAATTAGAAATTAAACGTTAAAAAAGAAAAAAAACTCACACCTATTATTTTGTCCATATGTGTACGTGCATATGTATTCGAATGAATAAAAATCCATCTACTCAGATAGGAACAGCAAATGGTAATAAAAATAGAAAATAGTCGTAATAAAATCCTTATCATATAAAATAAGGGACCACAATAGCTCCCTTGCGGGACGCCAACAGTAACCTTGAGAACATTAGATAAGCTATTTTTAAAGAGGACCTTTTGCGTCCTGTCTTTCAAATAACTTCAGATCCATCTAGGAAGATCAACCAGAAATCCCATTATATCGAGTTTTCTAACAAGGATAGAATGGTTAGGTGAGTCAAATTCTTTACTAAAATCAGTATAGATTACATCTGTCTGGAAGTTATAACTGAAGCCCTTTGCTGATGTCCTTCGTTTAAAATATTACTGTTGACACGGAGATATAACTGATCTATACAGGTGCCGCAAGTGTAAACTGATGACATTTTTGAAAAGTTCTGGGATGGCTGCCAATTTAGAGATTCCTCTACAGTTGTTTGCATCAGATTTGCAAAATTTGTTGTTTAAAGAATATCAAATTGTTCAAAAAGGCGATTACTTTCTAGAGGCAGTATGATCCCTAGCTATGGTTATGTTTCAAGTAGTTAGTACCGATTTATACACGCCAATGTAAGGACATCCAACGGATATAACGTAAAAACCCAAATTGTTCTCCGTGTCCATATTTCGGTGTTCTTATTTTCAGCTTAAAGTCACCCCCTCTAAGCATTGGCCCATTGAGCCAGATGAACTATTCTCAGTAGCTCCGGTGGCTTTGATACCGCACAAAATTTTTACTTAGACAATTTAAATTTCAAATTTCTGCCGGTCATACATTTAGGTTATGAATCTCAGTTCTCTTCTCTGTATGGTTATTGTCTTAAGGGGGGGTAAGGTTAATTCGGTGCAAAAATGCCCACTTTTCAAGAAAATGTTGTGGCGAAACGGCTAAAGCTAGCTTAACGAATTAAATACCATATAATAACACAACATTTGAACAGTTTGTGATAAATTTTGTATTGAAAAATATTTAGAGGTAGAGTAGAGTAGTTATAGGGAATCTCCCGAGTCGCCTCCAAAAAAGTTGGTTTGCGGTGTACATCCTAACTGTCCACAGAATCATCCGATCTACAAAAATTATACCTCATTCGTTAAAGGATAAGTGTCCCGAGGTATTCTCGAAGCGTTTTTATTTTTAAAATTTTTTCCCTATTTTTTATCAAAATTTGAAGTCAAAACCCCGATTTTTGACTAAAAAATTAAGTTAATTTGTTAAATAAAAAATATAAGAAAATTAAAAATTAAAAAAAGCTCGACGAGAATACCTGTAGAATTATCTAAAGAAGTTATGTTCCAAATTTCAAACCGATTGGTTCAGTATATTTTTAGTTATCGTGTACACCGATTTTCAAAATGGCATTTTTCAGGAGAGCGCTTTAAACTTTGTGATTCTCATGCATTGAACACCAACCGACCTTCGTTCAGCTCCGCATAACTTCGTCAATTTTACTATGATTGATGTAAAACTTGGACACAATATTCTTAAGATATTGAACTTTTAAAATAAAAAATAAAAAAAAATTTACGAAAAAAAAAATTAAATACCTTACCCCCCCCTTAATACAAGTCGGATCAATCCGACACTACGGCAGTTTCCGATTCCAAATCCAAATAATTTTCTGCAAGTTCCGAAATCCAAAAGTGTGTGTTTAAATAAATGGCATAAGCCATAAGGGAAAATTCCAATGCCGAAAAGTTAATAATTTTTTTTTGGTTACTGAGTTCCCGCTTGCATTTATTTTATATACTTACAATCTACTAATATACAAACGCTGCCAAAATTTTCATCAAATTTACGTTATTCTATATCCAACAATCTACTCCACTTCACGATCCGAAACATACATAATCAGGCCTGCTCTGGTAGTCGAAAACGGTAAGATTTTTTGTTTTCGTATTTGAAAACACGAAATCGATGCTCCGGTTTCCGAAAATGAAAGATTTTTCGATTTGAAAAACGGGCACCTTTTTCTGTCCGGAATAAAATGTAAATGGCTTTTTTATATGAAATGAGATCTTATTTACAAAAGGAAAAAAATTGTTTACTCAGTGGTCTATTGATGTTTATTCCACACCACCATAAGATCTAGCAGGTAGTTATTTTATAAAATTTATTTCTGACCCCACCTCAGATTTGACAACAAAATTTTTGCCGTGTTCAACCAGTTTTCTCGGTTTGGCGATAGGTCGATAAGTACACCGCAAAAAGTTATCGCCAAGGTTGCCATATTGTTGGTAGAACAAAACAGCCAGGTTAAAGTACCTCTAAAATATAAATGAATACATTTATAACTTTAACGGAGCGCCAAAATTGTTGTTTATAAATAATGCTATTTAATTTGACTACTTAAATGGTAAAAATTGACCAAATAATTAATTGAGACCACCGGAACAAAAACTGAAAAATGTGGCAGCATCTTAGATGCCTAGATTTGTTTAACTCCAGCATTTGTTGCCATTTCCTGGCATCGAAATAAGCAATTGTAAATATAAAAGGCAGTTCTTCACGTTGTTTGCTTTTAACCAAAAAATCAAGTCAAGTGCTTGAGCTAAAAACGAAAAAGAACGATTTCGCCCAAAACGAAAACGAAACAAGAAAGGAAGCTAACTTCGGCACGCCGAAGTTTGTATACCCTTGCAGATTGGTTTTGATGTTTATATTATAGATTATAATACTGAAAACACTCACAAAACAGAGTTTCATT